AGTACCGTTCACCCACCCATAAAAACTGATTAACGTCTGCGATTCTGAAACATGTTGCTTCGAAGTTATCTGGACTCAACAGCAATCTCTTTTTTTCCCCAGCTGAAGTTGAAATATCATTTTCAGGCTGATTCCTATTTTCAAGGAATGTCTATGGCTTACTTCGGCACTGATGGTTATCTTCAAATGAATGCAAATGTTGCTACTTTAGCCACATCGTTATGCATTTGTATTTTCGTAATCGGCTGTGGATTTCGATATTTCCTACGGTATTGCTGCAAACTTCGTTCGAAACGTCCTCTACCGAATTATACAACCCAGTACTACATCACAAATTCAGGACCTCGTTGTAAGTCATACATCTTGCACATTCACGGTCATGTAAAAGAACATTCGATTGGGCAGGATCTCACGTCTCTTTGAAACTATTCACACGCTCTCCCGCCTAGACCAACCATGCCTTCTATCCCTCCGGGACTAAAATAACCGTCCCGGAGGGATAGAAGGCATGGTTGGTCTAGGTGGGAGAGTGTGTGAATAGTCTCAAAGAAACGTGAAAAGAAAGTAAATAATGACCGTAGAATACCGGACTCGTCTAGGACAAAAACACTGATTTGCACAAGGAATGGCTTTCGTAGGTCACGCTATATAGGTATCCCCCACCCTGCAAAGTTCTACAACGATTCTGAGTGGAAGTCGACTATCGGGCCCATCCCAGAAACGGAACTGAATAGCTCCAAGAGCTTTATCTTACTCATCCGTTCACTGTTTTTGGTCTTCTAGGCAGCCGCTTTTATTTCGATGAACGCAACCAGATCCGCAGTATGGTAATCACCGCCAGTATACAACCGACGGCAGAACAATATCCTCAGATTGTGGGTGAGTCCATAGTAGCAGTATTCATTCTGTGAAGCACCTATGGTAGCCAATTACTCCATTGCCACTTTCTCGTCACGAATGAAGTATCTGTTCGACGGGATACTCAAGACGCATCCTGTCTCATGACTTACCTATCCCTTGTGAGCGGATTTGAACGGATGTTTATGCTGGCTGAGCCATTAGCCTCTTTTGAATCAACGACTTGGTGCTAATCTCTCGTAAGAAGGTGAAAACAGAGAGGAATAACGTACCCGATTTGATAGGGATTTGAAACCTATGCTCTTTTTGAGCCTTCGGAACGAACATGGCTCATCCAATAAGATTGATCATGTAGAACATCCCGTACTTTATTGCTTAGTGCTCTACAGGTAGGTGAACTAGCGAAAATGGATGGCATAATCGGTGAAAAGCTCCCTAGGAGAATGGGATTTATGGAGACGTAATGTTGAAGGTGGTTGTGACATGATCTTTGAACGTTGTTATGATAGTGGCGGCATTTGTCATTAGATCAATCCACTTATTAGAATCTGAGTACAGATAATTTTAGGATTCGTGTTGGAACCATCAGTCCTCGATCCGGAACATTCTGCTGAATCTCCCAATCCTCCTCGATATGAAGACGCTTTGAAGCCGGTGTCTGCTCCACCACGATACGAACTGGAATCGAATGCTTGTGAGTACGTTCCTGCATTAGAGCAGATATGTCATTATTTATTTGTTTTTCAAAAGTGAACAAGGCTCGAGACGCCTGGATAGTGCAGGATAGTCTACATAATGATTCACAATTGGAATGAATAACTTTATTAGAAGTTGGCAGCTCTAATAATTCTATATGTAGCGAGTTCACCACCAAGAAGTGTAGAACTTCCTCCAAGCGGACGGACGACGGCTCGAATCGAATCATCAGTGGACGAAATATCTTCCCTCGATGGAGAAGTTGAAGACATGAAATCGCCACGTCTATCCCGTGGACAGCAGAAGATGCTCGCCTGTTCATCAAAAGCTCGAAACTGAGCCGTGATTACAACTGGGATTGATATGTGGGTAGTCACCTCGAGTTATTTACGTAGGATTCTGTTCTTAAGTAGTTCTCGTGAATGTAAAAAGCACTACGGTTTTCCAGCTCAGAAAAAA